ATCTATACACACACACAGACACACACTCACACACACACACACACACATCTATACACACACACAGACACACACTCACACACACACACACACACACACACACACACACAGACACACACATACAGATACACACAAAGAGACACACTCACACACACACACACATACACATACAGATACACACACACACGTATATCCACACACACACACACATACAGACACACACAAAGAGACACAGACACACTCACACAGACACACAGTCACACACACACACAAACACACACACACACATACTCACACACACACTCCCACACACATACACACACAGACACAAACACAAACACACACACACAGACACCCACACACACACAGGCACATACACAGACACACACACACAGACACACACACACATACAGAAACACACACAGTGGAAGGACACTGGAGTGTGTGTGTGTGTTTGTTTTCATGACACATCAGGACCATTTTGCAAATACGCACCTTTAATATCAGGACGCGTAGAAATATGTGGACATTTTTCGCGTCCTCATTTTTCTGAGCATACTAGAGTTTTCTAGAAGCCCAAAAGACGCCCTAATGAAAACACATATGTGGGATGGTGTTTTGTTGGTATATATATATATATATTTTTTTTAAATCTCCCAGATAAGGAAACAGCGTTTCCCGTAAAGGACTTTGTCAGTCATGTGACAGAACTCCACAGAACTCAGAGCTTCCAACGAGAGTTTAAGGTAAAAGCTTTCGTCTTCTGGTCTTCTAACAGTTTCATGATTAGTGACTTTACCTTGATCCAAAGCTCCAATGATACTAAACTATTTTAATTCCTGGATTCCTAATGCATCTTTAAAGGAAATGTTACAGTCCTGCTCAGGATGATGGGTTAAATCCTGTTTAAACTGAGGAAAAAATAGACATAAAACACACAAGATGTTAATAAATACTTTATAGAATTATTTTCTCCATCACCCCACTTCTGTTTTAGTTTGTATTACTGCTAAAATAACTTTTTATACTCAGTTTTCTCGTTGTTGTTGAAGTTCATGAGCTCTACTTTGACATTAAAGAGATGTGGTTTGATATATTTTTTATTTTTCTTTCTGTTTCTTCATCTGTGGTGTGATGGAAACACTGATCAGCTCCTAAAGGAGAGTTATGAGGTAAGATGCTCTCATGTTCATTAGTGTAAGTAAAGTGTAGTTTCTATGATGATTAATTTATGGAAAAGTTCCATTCAGTGATTTCCAGTGTTTTAAATACACAGTGCGCCCATTCAAATTAGAAACAAATCAGAAAATTTCAAATTAAACTTTGTCATGAAATTAAATGTAGAAACTGCATATGAAAAATTAACCTCATATCCTGAGTTTCAACAGGAATCAGGAGTATTTCTATCTATCTATCTATCTATCTATCTATCTATCTATCTATCTATCTATCTATCTATCTATCTATCTATCTATCTATCTATCT